ATTAAAACAATAGAAGGTATGTTCTCTTACTGGCACCCCCAAATCGATAAACGAATAACCCAAGTAATACAACCCATCAAAGCTCATTCAAAACATAAATAACAGTTTTGGATGAATTAAACCTTTTAATGATAAAGAATTTATGGCAAATAAGGTACACTATATATAAAGACCTCAAAAGTAATGGGAACATTGGACTCTCTCTTTAGTAGTGTGGATCTTGGAAACTATTACTTTTTCCCTGCATTCTACATTTTTGAATTGCTTAATACGTGAAGTCTACACTTTCACTGACCATGATATTTCTAAGTTTAGATTCGATCACTACAAGACATAAGTCACTTTCTTAACATTATTCTTCATTGCAATAAAATGAAACAGACTGAATGGACAGTAAAATTCGCAAAGGATACATTTCAGCACAATAAGAGCCCTGTTAATACTTTGTGAGAAGGTGTAGAGCCCTTATAATTCATATAATTGCTCATCTTCACATGGGAAAAAGAATCCAGGCTTTTGAAATATGTGATCCCACTAGAGCTCAAACACATCCACACATAAACAATAAGATAAACTAATAGTTATTAGAGACACTTAGGAAAGCAAAATTATTCTAAATATCTCATTTCATTTTCATCAAAGGAAACCTTTCCTGAATTAAATACAGGGGCTGCCATTGCTGACCTTATTCTGAAAATTCTAGCTGCTTGTCTCTGTCTTCAGTACTTTCTCACAGACACGGGGTAGCCATTCAACCAGTGTAATCAGAACTTCTGATCTCTCACTTGTTTTGTGTCAGTGCCTCAGAAAGCATTGAAGCCAAAGGATTAACATAAACACAGGTTTCTTAAACCAAGATATTTTATTCATGTTCTAATATATTACCTGAAGTGATGTCATTTGTTTTGGTATCCTTAGATGTCTCTGATGTAGAAGGTTCAAAGACCCCTAGAACAAACTTGTCCACTGGCATTGAGACAGGCCTTGCCTGCAGACTTCTGGAGGTTCTCCTCATTACTGCATCTTTTTCCTTAGCACCAGACACCTCACATGGAAGGTCTCTGCTCTCTGTGGACTCTTGAAACACCATTTTGGTCTTCTTTCTGCCTTTTGCAGGTGCGCTGGCTGTACGCCTCAATATCCGGTCTCCAATGGACCGCTTTCTTAGGTGACCATTGCTCTCGACAGAACTGTGCTTTGAAGTTTTATTGAAAAGCCCTTTAAGTCCAATGAATTGCCTATTCTAGGATAAAACATACACAATACATAAAACATTACACTAATTTCTGTGTATATTTTCAATATTCTTATGGATAACATACCACCTAAAGGGGTCTTCCAGTTTTCAGCAAAATAATTTATGACGGATCCAGAGCTCAACAAATCCCAATGCTCTTACATATTTGTTTGAAGACATTATTTTACAGGCAAAGTTGGTAAAACCAGAAAACCCCTTATAATGCAAATAAAATTAGATGTAACACTAAAAACAACATAACCTGACAAATCCATGCAGGCACAAACACATCATGGCCAGTATGACTTAAAGTGACTCTGCCAATAAGAAAAAAAAATGGCTCTCAAGTATGAAGTGAAGGCAGATGTGCTTGCATATGCTTCAAGCAACTTGTATTCCCTGCTGCTATGGTCAATTCCTAGGTTGTTTTGGTTGGCGAGGCTTCAACACTTCCTGGTAGTTTGAAAACATGCCTGCTCCCTCCCACCTGTCACACATTAATACTAGCTCATCAATTTAAGGGACGGTCTTTCTGGCCAATAGTAATATGCAGGAGGGCAGATATGAGGGACGAGCTTACGAAGAAGTGCTGGAGTTTTGCCATTCAGCACATTAAGGCATGTCATGCTTGATAGCAGCTTTAGTCACTTTAAGTGCATCGTTTTTTAAAATTGCAATGGAATGGCTTTACAGACATATGAACGGTATGCATACTATGTATACTGTATGCATAATAAAACAACAACCACATGTAGCTCAGCAGCTTTAATGGGGTAACCAATGTTCAGTGACACACTACTGTACGTTGTCATGCAACAGGTAATTAATCTGCAAATATTATGAGTCTACCTTTGTGGCTCCTAGAAAGTGCAATATAGTATAACTGGGGTTGAGGATTAAAGGACTCCACTGAAATGGAAAAGATTTTACATTTTTAGCTCTTTTAATAAGCAGCATGCCAGAATGCATAACATTAGAGCAGTAGTGAATGAAAAGCTGTAACTGAAAGGATTTAACTTTCTGTCATAATAGTAAGAAAATATTCCTTTACACTTAGCCTGCATAGCAAAATTCATTAGAAATTCATCAGTGAAGAACAGTTAATAGCACAGAAAACATTCACATAAAAATTCTATTGATTAATGAACACAAAATCTGTACAGTTGGCAGTAGAGCTGGGCTGAATCTGAATATCAAAAGACTTTCATTAGCCAGGGAGAATGCGATCTTGCATGCATTTGTCAAAAAAGCACTCCCACATCACTGACAAGAGAAAAATGATTACTACTGCTGTCTAAAACAGACTATACTTCTGGGCAATGTCAGTAATTGGCTGCCACATAAATAATATTGCCCAATATCTGTTCTATTTTTAGCATGTCTTAAATATTAATTCCCTTTTAGAATGTACCTTGTAAATCTCCTTACTGTAGATTATGCATGGAAAAATTAATTTTCACCGTATAACCTACATACCCTCAGCTATGTATTATAAGTGAAAGTGCAAAAACAATATTTGTGTTATTATCTTGATACTAAAAGCCTTGCCTGACCCATTCCGTGATACCATGACATTATGAATGCCAAACTGAGAAAAGACACATGGGGGTTGATTTACTAACCTTATAAACACACCACGAACGTGTATACACCTCTGCAGTGTGTTCCCTCCCAGCATGATCTATGGGTGGAATCTAAACACCTTTGTAATGTGTACACACCCAGCAGGTGTGTTGTGCAAAGCCCTGAAGGAATTCCAAGGTGATGTTGGGTAAATTAGCTCTATGTTGTGTTGCTTGCGTTGATGAATGCAAGGAATGTAAATGCATGAGCTAACCATTTTTGTCTAAACTGTGAAGCAGCATTATATATGCATCATGTGCATGATTTTTCCATATATGGCATTAGTGGAAATATGCTTTTAGAGACTTTTTGGTTGATAAATACGTTTTGCTGTGTGAAAATCACACACACCTGGTG